TATATATATACACATACATATATAAATACATATACATGTATATATATGTATTCATATCTATGTACAAATACAAATATAAACATATATACTCCTATATATATATATATACTTGTATATTTTTTTTATTTTGTATGTATGTATATATTTATATTTATGTATGTGTATATGTGTATATATAATAAATATGTATTCATATACATGTATATGTATTTATATATATATATGTATGTGTATATATATAAATATACTTGTATGTATGTATATGCATATATATTTATATAAATGCATATATATATATGTGTATATTTTTATTTGATATATATAGATATATATATACATAGAAGTATTTATGTTTATATTTGTTTGTATGTATATGTATATATATTTGTATAGATGTTTGTATATATATATGTATGTTTTTTATTTTGTATATATATAGTTATATATTTTTATATAGGAGTATATATATTTATATTTTTATTTGTATATAGATATGAATATATATGAATATATATATATATATATATATTGTTTATTTATTTTGTTTTAATTTTTAAAAAAATTCAATTTTTTATATTTTTTCGGAATTTTTTTTAAAAATCTGACGTGGCATGCTGATGTGGCAAAAAATCTATGTGGTGTGCCATGTCAGCCGCCACGTGGCGTGCCATGTCAGTGGTTAGCAGCCACTTAACACCGTTTTCGGATTGTGTAGGAAATTGCAGTTAAATTGGGTAGTTCATGTATCAATTTGGCACATTTGATAATTTGATGTAGTTTTTTTTTCAAATTAAAAATTCGTGTAGGAAAATGTCACATTTTGCAAAGTTTGTGTAAGAAAATGTCATTTTCCTTTTAGGATAATATTTGCATTTTAAAATAAGTGACGTTTTTTAGATTTTTTTATATAATTTTTAATAATTTTTAATAAGCGACAAATAAACATTGCTAATTTTCTAGATCCCTTTTCAAACTATACGACGAAAAAACTCTTATTAGTCTTAATCTTTTACTCAAACCAATACTAGCATCTCATATACCTCACTTAAATTTTTATCTATTCCATTTATATCATTGTTCAACTTTATAAGTGTCGAAAACTATTAGAAAGAAAATACAGTCATATTTACTATAAACTAGTGTCAAATTCATCATAACCACTCGTGGGAAGGAGGGGTGCAATTAATTACGTGTCTAAAGGCTGATTCCGGGCCCAGGTGATTATATGGGTCGAAGGCCCAACACACCTCCTGGTTATCCAAAAAAAAAAAATCATCATAATGTCAAATTATTTCAAATCATCAAAATAACTCTTCATTTTGAATACATGTGGACCGACAGAACATCCACTATCTATCTTACGGTCCAAAAGACTATATATAAACTTGAAATGAAAGAGTTGTCTTTAATAGAAGAATAAGATAACTTACATAATGTTATCTGTACACTAAAAAAATTTATTTTAATTTAATAATATAAATTATAAAATTTAAAACAAAATATATTATATTTAACTTTAAAACTAATAATAACATTGTTTAAAGTCCGCATATATATAATTAACTTGCGCGATAGACAAGTTGTGATATAATAATAATAATAATACATAACATCACCAGTGACGGGAGTTTATTGTTACAGAAATTAGAAATATAGATATACAATCACACTACGATTAGAGTAGAATAATAGATAAACAAGAACCCCCCATCCACGTGGTTTAAGCTTTTTTTTTTAGCCGCCGGGTCGGATCCTAATCGGCGATGGTCCAAGTCAAGTCATTCTCGAATATCCAGTGGCACACTTCGATCTCACCGGGACGTGACCCTAACGCCATGAACGCTCCGTGCCTCGGACCCCAAGCTGACGTATCAATGTGACAGATGGCAACACCGTGGTTAATCTTGGATTTGGTTTTCGGATCAAGAAGATCCGATTCGTACACCCGGACTTTGGGCACCGAGTGGCAGTAGTAGAGCAGGTATGGATACAGACTCTGGTGGCACGACACTGACTTCGTCACTTCTCCGCCGTTGATTCCTTTTACCTTCCCGATCATCACCTCCTGCTTTGATCCGGCGGTGCTCTCTGTATTGCGGAGTATGATGTTGCGGCCGAGCACCGACGTCGCGAAGTCGATCATGTCTTCCGCCGATCCCACGCACCGCTTTGTCTCGCCGGCGCTCGGGGGCCTCTCGCACTCGCTGAGCGCATCCGATATTATCTTCTCCATCGTTGAGTTGTCATTTGCTCGGAAGTTCCGTTTGATGTCGGCGATCTTCGAAGTCGAGAAGGGTAGTTTCAATAATATATTCCGGGGCAAAAACGACCTCTTGGGCATCTTATCTCTGATGTCAGGCATCGGAATCATATTCCCTTCCTTGAGCATCGCCTCCCGGAAAAACTTACCCGGCTCGATCCACCTATTCACGGATTTGCCATCGGAGAGGGGCATGGTCGTCTGGTTATATTCGGCGAACTCGACGCCATCTTTGGCGTAATGCTTGAAACTGGTGTTGCCATCGTAGGTTTTGAAACCGATCTTTTGCCCCTCAGCGTCTTCGCCGTAGCCGGTGAATGTATCAGACCCTAGAGTGACGCTTTGTCCGTAATTTACGAAATTGACCTTCTCATCTTCGGAGTCTTTCGCGTACGAAGTGAACGTGTCGTCGCCGATGGTCGTGCTGTCTCTGTAGTTGGAGAAGGTCAGGGTGGACGCGTTCCCGTCGGTGCCGTAGTTCCTGAAGTTGTTTTGCGGCTCATTGCTGTCGGTTCCGTAGCTGGTGAAGGACTCGTTGGCTGCGTGTCCGTCGGCGCCATAGTTTGAGAAATCCGACCCGACCACGTTGGAGGACACGGAATAGGAGGAGAACTCGTCCGCGGCTCCATCAGCGTGCTTGCCGTAGCTGGTGAAGGATTGGCCGAGCCCTGCATTGGCGTCGTGGGAGTAGGTCTTGAAGGTCTGGGACCGGGAGGAGCTGTCGGAGTATGAGGTGAATCTGCTTGTCGGGTCGTTGACGTCAAACTGGTAGTTGCTGAATGTGCCGCTGCCTCCGGCTGTAGAGTGTCCGTATGAGTTGAAGTTCTCCTCCGCGACGTTGCTTGAGGTCGCGTAGTTGGAGAACTCGTCGTCGTGATCGGCCGAGTCACGGCTGTAACGCCGGAACGAGTCGGTGACGACGTTCCCGTCCTGCGAGTAGTTTTTGAACGAGTCGACGCCTCCGACACTGCTTGTGCCGTAGTTGGTAAAGTTCTTCTGGTCGTAGACGGAGAAACTGACGTCCTCGGCGTGCTGCTCGAGGCTCGGATCCAAATCCGGGAAGCAGAAGAGCTTGGCGGCAGAGCAGAACTCAGGCAGGCGGGTCGAGAGAGAGTTCCGGGCGGCGAGTTTGGCGAAAGTGGCGGAGTCGACGGCGTTGAGAGGCGACGCCTTGGAGAGGAGAAACTCTGATCTGGGAGATTCGCCTCGGATCTCTTTGATCCAGTAGCGGACCAGAGATGCCTCCGCCGAGAATTCGCCGCCGATCAATCGTCCGACGGCGACATTCACCTGCAGTCGCACACAAACAATGTTCAGGTAAAATAGACCCAATTTACTCTAAAGTGAATCAAACCTTTTGTCGTTTCGCTTACGTTGAGGAGACCCAGACAACCCAGAACGAAGGGCAGGAGAGGATGCATTTTCGTCCGAGGGAGAGGGAATGACTGTTGGCGGGCTTGTCGGGCTGTCGAGCAAAATGTGCGCGTATTTATAATTGGACCCAAGGAAGATCAAGAGTTTAATCTCTGAGTTATTTTAAATTTAATTGATTGATTAGTGCAAATCTTGCGGGGTAGATACATATATGTTTCCATCTTAAATAAATACGAGAAAAGGATAGCGATGATGGTGAAACAAAAAAAAAACAATATCAGCAAAAACACGTGCAAAAAAAAAAACAAGAGGTAGAGAGAAAATCGTACGCATTTCGGTTCGGGAATGATTGGGTTTGATTCATTCGATTTTACAATATATATATTGGTTATTATATCATAGGCGGTTTCGTTTTTTTGCCAATTCAATCGTTTTGCCCAGTTTGTCATTTATACCAACTCATTAACACATGTCCACACAAAATAAAGAAAGGTATATCCACAGATGTATGTATCCTAACTCTACCATAAAAATTGATTTTTTATTTAAATATTGAAACGGGGTTTTATACACCGAGAGACACTTCATAACATCATAACCGATCGGTTTTTATGTCACGGTTCAGTTCGGTTATGATTATATTTTATTCCGTTCGGTTCGGTTATTCGGTTAATAACTGAAATGGTCACCCCTACATATAACCTTATTAAACCATGTTTTCATTAATAACTATGAATTTAAATATTTTTAATTAAAATAAAGTTAAAAATATTCTTAAAAAATCACCTAAATCTAATACACAAAGTATTCTCTTAAATGACAACTAATCATAAACGGAGGGAGTAATTTAAACCTGAGTTATTTCAAATTTTAATTGATTGATTAGTACAAGTATTACAGGTAGAGAAGAGTATGGGTTGGATACTCACGTTTTTTAATATACTCGTCTTCTTTTTGTCTTCACGGATTTGATAGAATTATTATTTTTAACTTTATCTCACAATATCCGGATACCCGATTATCCATGATTAAAAAATAGATTATTCGTAAATACATGTATCTATATGTATAAAATTCACCAATCTAAAAAATTAAATAAATATCAAATAAAATCGTATATATTTTGATTTAAAAAATACATTTAACATTTGAAAATTCTTAAAATATTAGAATATGCATAGATTTTTAGAAAGTTTTTCAAAAATACAAAATGGTTTTCAAGTTGAAAGGATTACATATATACGCGTATTCATTCTCTAAATCTTTGAAATCCAAACCCGAACTTGACATACAAGTTTTTTATTTTTTTAATACTCGTTTTCGTTTTTATTGAGAATTGAGTATCCATTTTCGAATATCCACGATATTGGGTATCCACGAATTCTCATGTGATAACACATATTCATATATTTTTGTATAGATATATATCATATTTTGTAAGATTTATATATTCATATATAATTTTTTTGTATAATTTTATACCGAATTCGTTGTTTTTCATGTTTTGCAGGAAAAATAGAACGCGTGTGGAAGCTAACTGAAAAATTATGTTGAAATCGTGCTATATATATATATATATATCATATGTGTAATTATATATGTCGTGTGTATATACCAGTATATATAAGCATATATTACCTATATAAAATATATAATAGAAACATATAAATAAGTATGTGTGTATATGTATATTATAGATATGCATATTACGTATATAAGATATATATATATATATATATATTGTGTGTGTATAAATATATTTATGTCATATAATATGTGTATCTATATAAAGTATGTGTATATAAATATATATATATAATATATGTATATATAAATATATACAAGAGCATATATAGTACCTATATGATATATACATAAGTATAAGTATGTATATATATATAAATATTACGTAAGATACATATATAGATATAATATAATTATATATATAGTATGCATACATGATGCGTGCATATATAATATAACTATAATATACATATGTATTAACTTATATATATGAACGTGTATGCTTATATATTAATATATGTTTATATTATACAATCATATATAAATATATGTATATGTACATATGGATGTGTATATTTATATATAATTATATATAGTATGCATAAGTAACACATGTTTATATAAATTGTATATATATATATAATGCATGTATATTAAATATATAAATATATATGTGTATGAACACCTAAACGTGGATTCACGTGGCATGAGCAGCCATCCCTTTTTGTCTTGTTGCAATTATCCAAAAACTTTGCTTTTTTAGCGTAATTGACGCTCGTCCAACAAGAACAACGGTACCCACTCCTTCATCAAAATTACAATTTATATACAATTTATATACATATATTTCTGTATTAAATAATAGAAGAAAAGGATAGCCATGATGGTGAAACAAAAAAGAATATCAGCAAAAACACATGCAAAAAACAAAGAAGAGATAGAGAGAAAGTCGTACGCGAGTGGCAGAAAGGAGCGTTTCAGTATTCGGTTCGAATTCGGTTTGGGAATGAATGGGTTGGATTCTTTCGGTTTTACAAAATATGTATCAATCAGTTATTATATCATATCCGATTCGCTTCGTTTATGGTTCAGTTTAGTTCTAGTTTTTATTGAAAAAAATAGAATTTTAAAGAAAAATTTTGGGTTTTCGTTTTTTGTTTAAAATTTGGTTCGATTTTGAAAAAATGGGGTTTTTTTTTTTATAAATTTGGTTGATGGCCAAAAATGGTTGAGTGTGAGATTCATTTCTATGGTCACATTTCACCGCTTGAATGGTCTCATTTTTTCAAACTCTCTTCTTCTTTTTTTGTTGTTAAAAACAATCTGTCTTCTTTCCCT